GACCTGGGAACGTAGGAGCCCAGGAGCCAGAGCGCTCGGTTCCTGGGTGGGGGGACTGGGATGCTTCGAGGAGGCTGGCCAGCGGTGGGCACCAGTCCTTTCTGCCGTGAGCCTTCAGTCTCTCCTCCTCTAGCGGGAGTGCTCTGTGCTCCTGGGCACCACTGTCCTGCTCCTGAGGCACAGTGACCCCACTTGTATGCCTGGGTTCAGGGATGGTGGGCACGTGCACCAGGTCCATAGGGGTCTTAGAAAGTGTTTCAGGGATACGGCCCGGGACCGGGGCTGGAGCTGGCATCACCTTCTTCTGTGATTGCTAAATGATGAGATGTGAGCCCGGAGCTGACACTGCAGGGGAAGAGGATGTCTGAGAATTAAACCAGGCAGAGGACAGCAGAGCTAAAGGACCAGAGAGACACCCAATGATGTCATCTGAGCACCTGGATCCAGCTGAGCCTGAAGTGGTGGCACTTGTTTCTGGGCTCTTCAGCTAGTAGATGGTTTCAGTTAGGTTCCTGCCACCAAAGGATTAAGGAGTCCTGATCAGTCCTGATGAATGAGCACCGGGGTAAGTGGGGTGGCTCAGAGCCACCAAAGGATTAAGGAGTCCTGATCAGTCCTGATGAATGAGCACCGGGGAAGTGGGGTGGCTCAGAGCCGGCGGGGCTGAGGCAGACGGGCCGCACCGGCGGGTGTGGCAGGAACTCAGACCCGAGGCCTGAGGGTCTGAACCAGGGGCTGTGGTGGCAGAGGGGACAGGACGTGAGTCAGGGTGAGGAGGACTATCTGGACGCTTCCTCTCCTCAGGCATTGTGAGCTGTGTCCAGCACCCCTGACTCGGTCCTTCACGAGGCCCTGGCCTCTCGCTGCCATCGGCAACAACTTGGTGAGCGAGTCAGGTGACCTTGTCCCATTTATAACCCCGTGGAGGGGTTCAAGGACTTGCCCACGGTCACAGGGGCTCTGGGGCCTTGTTCCCATTCTCTTGCTCACGCTGCCCGGCTCCTCTGTGGGTGTGGACTAGGTCACCGGGCATGGGCGCCGTCACCTCCGGGAGCGCGCCCGCGCCCGGCTTCTCTTCTGAGGGACGTGGAGGAATGGCAGGCGCTCTTCCTGAGGGTCGGCCAGGGAGCCCATGACCCCCGTCATTAAAAATAAATCCTGCCTGCGTCTCCAGGTGCTAAATAGAAGAAAATGTAGATTTGGGTCAGAGCCTAAGGGAAAGGGAGTTCCCTTGGCAAATTATTTGCAGTTTGTGGATTGGAGCTGACCCAGCTCCAATTCCCACTTCATCGTGAACGCTAAAATGCCATCAGCTTATTAAGGAACCAGAGCCGGAGGCAGTCCTCCGTGGGGACAAAGAACAGGAGCAGAGTCAACCCCCTTCCTCCTCAGGGCCTCGAGTCAGGAGCTACTCTGATCCTCACCGCAGGTGATGGTCACGCCCGGGCGACCGCTCCCTGCGGCTGTTGGAATAAGAGCGAGCGTGTTCACTACAGGTTTGTGCCTTTCCTTGGCTTTATAAAAAGCTGCCTGCTGTAAGTACTTAAATTGCACTGTAGCTACAGACTGTGGCACGCACCGGAGCGCAGGAACTGAAGTGCCACCGCCAGCGATTCTGACTTGGGGGCCAGCGTCTGCCTTTTTAATAGGCATCCCAGGGGATTCTGAAGCAGGCGGTCCGTGGACCACAGTGTGAGAAACAGAGATGTAAGTGGACAAATGCACAAACCCCAGTGGCCCCTCCATCAGAGATTTGCACGAGTCCCGGGACACGCAGGGCCTCTTTCCTTACTAACAGCGTTGCTACTCAGGGGCACATTTTGAGGGACATGCAGAAGGCTTTCTTGAATAAGAATGTCTCTGAGGGGCTGCCAAATCTAGAGTTCTAACCATTTATCTTCTCCAGTAGTCCCTTTAATGGTGACCAGCTTAAGGAGAACAGCACTTTCTGTGTTCATTTTTTTTTTTTTTTTGTAAAGAAAGAATCCCAGCCTGGCAAACCCACAGCACGTCAGGGCGTAAATGCAGCTCATCTGTCTTCGTGTCCAGCCCACCGGGGCCTGGACTCCTCCCCTTCCCCTTCCTCTGTCCCCAAGTGTTGCACTTGAGCTGTTGAGACCCGGGGACAAAGGCTTTTAAAAAGGCTCATGCAGGTTCTTCCTTCCTTAGGGCACCTCTATTAACAAAACCCTAAAGAAAATCCACGGATCACATTTCCCCACCCATCTTGCTACATGTCATCATCATTCCCAAATTAACAGTGGAATCGACAGGCGAGGTGGGCCACAGGCCTTCGCAATAAAATCGACTGCATGTGAAATGAATCTGAAAATTCCATTTATTAAAACAAACACATTGTCCATGTGGGATGAAATGTGCACATCACATTCAGGTTTTCCTGCTTTAACATTTCTGTGCTTCCCTCTCTTTGAAAGACACACCCCATAGATCTTATATAGGAAAAATGAACAATTTTTGGGCTGGGCAAACATTAATGTATATGTAATAATTCACCATTGCCAGGAGCAGCTAACAGCAAATATTAAAAAAAGAAAAAGTACAAATCCCCTGAAACAGCTTGCTTGATGTCTCACGATTCCTTTTGTGAAAATGAGTGTGTGGAGAAATGGTTTTTCATTTTTCCTTGGTAAGCTATCTCCCTCAAACATTATTAGCAAAATGAGCCTCATTTCACAGCACTTATTTGCAGTTTCTGACTTAAATTAAATAGTACTTGGTTTAAAATTGAAAAAAAAAAAAGAAAGAAAGAAACTGGAGTTAATATTGAGGATGATGCAAGATTGTTTTTTCCCTAAATCTGAGGGTTATTGTCACTGTCTCACTCCATGGCAGATTTTCATTACTATTAGTACGTTATATACATAAATTAGGGCCTTGAATAATTAAGCTGAGTTCCCATTAGTTATGCTGGTGAAAATGATTGCCGAGTTTCTGAAACAACTAAAACTCTTTAGAGGCTAAGTAATCAAAGATTTTTCTTTCTCCTTAACAAGTAAAAATACCACAAGCCAAAACTCATATAAAGACTCTGGTATTCTAATTCCATACTGTAGGACATGAAATTATGAAAAAGCCAAGACATTTTCCTTACACTTAACTTCAGATGAGCTGTGTGTTTTCTGCCGTCTTTCCCCTTTTGTAAACAAGGTCACACACAGTTTGGAATTTCCTTAACCGTTAATTACCAGAGCTGTATCCCTAAGGGTTTTAATTCCATTTTAATAGCTCCAAAGATCTGGATTTACATGAAAATATAAAGAGTCCTTCCGAGAAAAATAAACGGTGTGGATTCTGAAAATCATCAGGGTCTTAAAATGAAAGACTAAAGAGCGCTTCACTCACGGTTGTTTTATGTGACCACATGTTCAATTCATAATTTGGCTCATTTTAAAAATGTGATACAGTTCTAGCTGATTCTGCAATGTCACTAAGCCAACGGTACAATATTCCAGTCTAATAAATACTCTGCCAGGGTTTTTCCTCTGAATCTTCATCAGTGTCCACTGACTGTAACAAAATCCCAAGGTCTGAGCAGAGTGTCTGGCACAGAGGTGTCTGTGTGAAACATATTCCACGAAGGTCTCAGGACTCCCCTCCTCCCGCCTGGGGCTTTAACTGGGTGTATTTATTCTTTTACCATTGTGCCCACAAAGGGAGCTAGGAAAACATTTAGCAGGTCTGTTTCAAAATCTGTTCTTGGCATATTAATTCTTTTTATTTTCTCTTTTCCTCCGTCTTCATTCTTTTTTTTTTTTTTTTTTTAACAGGAGGAAGAGAATGGAAAGAGAATAAAATTAATTTGGAAATGGTCTTTTGGGATTTCAAAGCCAAAAAGGAGATGTAAGAGAAGCCCTCTTTTGCCTGGAATGACACAGAAAAAAGGGATAAAGGCTTCCAGGCCTCTGGTTACTGACGGAGGCTGGAGCTGTGATGAACAGTCACTTCCGGAATCATCTCTGGGGAAGAGAGAGAAAGAAAGGTGTAAATAAAGACTGAGAGACTCTCACAAACAGGTGGGAAGGAAACCAAGAAAAGATTCTATTGAAAAATGTAGCGAGCGAAGAATGAAGACCATCTCAGTGGCAAAGAGCCAGAACCCCGTCTGCGGAGCCGGGGGCCGCCCCTGTGCCCTCTCCCTGGTGGGCAGACAGTGGGCTCCTGAGAGTGGTCTTCCCTGGAGCCATGGCCTTATTTCTCCAATCCTGGAACAAAAGTGGCCATGTTTTCTTGTTAAGAAGAGTACAGAATGCGTTCTTTCGATCTAGAAGTTGTGTGATTCAGGGAAGAGGGAACCTGCTCCTATCTGACAGAAGCATCTCAGCATCATGGTGCATCCTTCCCTCTCTTGCTGGGCGGTACCTGGAGGAAACCAGAGTGCTGGAGTCTGGAAAGCAGGTTGAGGAGGCGTTGACGCACTGTTACTGGGAGGTATTTTAGGCGTCGCTAAGGCTCTGAGGAATCTCAATTTTCAAGATACTGAACTTTCCCTTCCCAGCTTCTTTTCTCTCCCGTTCTTTCCCCAAACCTTATAGTAAAACAACAAAACCTCTGAATGGATGTAACATAGGGACGTTTTCATGCAGTATTACCCAAAAATTGTCACAAGTATATGAAAGCACCAGTCACAACACATGGTTGACTCTTACTTGCAGGGTCGAAGCTTTTGTACAAACGTTAGGGACAGTGACAAGGTCACAGACAGCGGCACTGGCTCTGCTGTTACCACGAGAACAAAGCACAGGGACATCTTCCTAAACACTCAGGGTGCTCATCCTGGGGTTCAGTCCCCCAGGCAAGCCCAGCTTTATCTCTGTGCTATTCTAATGGGGGGAGGAAGGAGAAGGAAAAGAAGGACACCAAGACTAAACATCAACGCCAATAAACGGGTCACGGCCACACCAGACGACCCAGCTCATCCGGGGAATTCTAAAGGCAAGGTTCATCCCAAGAAGGTCACACATGTCTGAGCTCAGCACAGCTGTGTGCTTTAATTTTAATTTTTTAAATATGAAGCAGAAACATAAGGTTTTGGGAGGGATAGCAGGAAAGAAAGGACACCGATTTTATCTTCACAGGTTCCCTCCTCCAGGCAGTTCTGCAGATATCAGATCTCTTAACTCAGGATGCAGAGCAGCTTTCATTCTCATAAAGGGGACCAGTTCTTAAACATGCATGGCCTGGAGTTTCCAGGATGGTTCTCCTCCCTCTTCTTAAATGCCGGGGACCAGAAAGGCGCCCACTTCGCTAAAAACTTTACATCCAGGGTCCCAGGAGCCCTGAGGCTCTTCAGGCTCCACTTGAAGATTTAAAGGATAGCGCAGAAAAACTTCTTCTCCCTAAACGGGTTCTCTGAGGCCGGAACGGGGGTCAGGAGGGGGTCTTCCTTGGCATGCGCTTCACAGTAGGCCATCAAGTCTGCAGCAGCCTTCGACACCTGGAGAGGAAGAGAAAGCAACCGAAACTTCAGAGGAGGCATGGACGCAGGTGCAGTCAGCCAGGGCCCAGGCTCTGGTGTCCAACGCCCTGTGGCCAGACCCTCGCTCCCCCACTCCCTGCCTGCGTCCAGACCCTCGCTCCTCCACCCCCTGCCTGCCTCCAGACCCTCGCTGCCCCACCCCTGCCTGCCTCCAGACCCTCGCTCCCCCTCTCCCTGCCTGCCTCC